CTATAATTGTATTTTAGCCCTTTACTGGGGCAGTAACCTCAAAGGTGCAACTATACCCCTAAAAGGGAGCATATTAGTACCATACAAGTATGCATGCTTTAAGGGTAGATAAGTTACAAAGGTGCACCTTTAAGGGTACCTCATGAAAAATAAACATGGTGTTAAATACGTACTAAAATGTATTATTATTATTGCCATGGTAAATGTGTGGTTACTGCAGTTTTAGTACAAATACTGTGGTAAACTGTGGTTACTGTAATAAAACCATGGTTAATTTTTGTAAAAAGGCTGTCAGGCTGTTGTCAGGCTAAACTTTAGCATATTTCTTTCTGACAGATTTATTAACAGCAATTACAGAACAGAACACAATCCATTTGAACTTTTAACAATTTAAATAAGTAAATGTACTTGCACAAACTAGCCTATTTACTCCTAAAGGTGAAACTGTAGGGTATTTTTTGGCTGACAGATTTATTAACAGCAATTACAGAACAGAACACAATCCATTTGAACTTTTAACAACCAGTTTAAATAAGTTTACTTGCAAAAACTAGCCAATTTAAAATAAATATTACATGTACACAAAAGTTTGGGGTCAGTAAGATTTTGTAATATATATTTTTTTAAGTCTCATGCTCACCAAGGCTGCACTTATTTAAAAATAAAAACAGTAAAAGCAGCAATATTGTAGAATATAACAATTAAAAAGAACTATTTTCTATTTGAATATATTTTAAAATGTAATTTAAAATGCATCTGTGATGGTCTATTTGAACAAGCACTGTGAGCCATGCGTCAGCAGCGAATGCTGTCTGTGATTGATTGGTTCTGTCTTTCAGCATTTGCATGTGTTCCGATGAGCAGGAGAAATGGTTCTATCCAACACAATTATTCGCTAATGTAGTCTATTTTTCCACTTACAAGCTTATTTTATGCACTGAATTTCTTGATAGATAAATAAAATTAATGGTTAAAAATGCACTTTAGAATCAATATTTTGATGTGAGGATCGATCCTTTCGGGATCAATCCGCCCATCCCTATTCAAAGCAGGGTCTTATGAAGCTCTGTTTTTATTTTTAAGAGACAGTCGCCAGTCCAGGTAAAATCCCAGGGAGTTTTGTGTGTCGCGGTTTTCATTTTTGAAATATCTGCATGACTCCTTGTTACATCGAAATCTTGTAGTTTTAGATTTGCGGTGTTCTCACGTCATATTTTGCGTTTTAATATTTGAGGATTTGTGACTTGTCTTGCTTTTGAATGCGCACAGTGATCAACACATCTGATGGTCTGTGTGTTTGAGTGGTTTTTGTCGGCGTTGTGACTCATTTCATAACTGAGGTGCGCTTCGAGTGTCTTATTTTGTGTTCTCTGCTCTGCCCCCACACACATGTGCAGCCGTACATGGGCGATGACGAGGAGCAGACGGGACCACTTCCTCCAAACCCCTTCAGCGAGCTGAGCGAGAAAGTGCTGCAGGACTACCAGAAACGAGCAGAACGGCAGCAGCTCGGAGTAGACGGTAAAACACGCTCACGAGTCCCTCACATCTCCACCGTACTCTACAGTTCGAGTATATATGTATATATAATACCGTTAGGGATGCAACGATTCACTCAACTCTCGAATCGATTCAGGATTTTGATTTCATTTTGATAGAATTCTGATTCGATTTTCTCATTATTATTATTTTTTTTACAAAATGAGATTAAAGACATTATACAGTAAATGAAAAGGTGTCGTTTTATTAGGCTATTGCTGCACATTTCTTTGTGAAATTGAAATATAACAAAACTAAATTGAAATTTTAAAACAAACCCCAAATCAAACAAGTAAGTTACACAAATAAAATAAATCTCTTAATATGAATGAAATAAGGCTTTGTCTGTGCTCTTTCCATTTAAAATGAGAGGCAACCACTGCATTTTAACCACGATCCAAACAGAGATGATGCACACATGCAACATGAGCAGTGTTTAATTTAAATAAGATTGTATAATTTCAAAATTTGAAGCCAAAACAGAATGGCCCTACATTAGCTTTGTGAAACTCTACTACATAAAACGGGTGGCGAACTCCAGTCCTGGAGAGCCGCAGTCCTGCAGAGCTCAGCTCCAACCCTAATTAAAACTCCCCTGCCTGTAGCTTCCTAATAACCCTTCAGGCCTTGATTAGCTTGTTTGGGTGTGTTTGATTAGGGTTGAAGCAAAACTCTGCAGGGCTGAGGCTCTCCAGGACCGACGTTTGCCACCCCTGACATAAAACATCCGCACTGAACAAAAACAGCAGATGGGCTGAATGAGACAGTAGGTGGCGCTTATGAACAGCAGCGATACAAAGCAAGTGGTGCATTGTTACATCCCTACTAACCCCAAACTTTTAAACAGTGTTTCACCTTTCAGACTGGTGTAAACTAATAAATAAAGACCACTGTGATGCATGATACCTCCTTGCTTTTAAGATTTCCTCACATATATATATGAGCCAGTCAATGCTAATGGTATAACTCGGCCCCTCATAGCTAAAAATCAATACAGTGCATCTTGCACAGGACTAACTTGAATGCATACAGCCAAGACTGTCTGTCCTGCGAGCGTCTTACAGCTGGGACAGTGTCCTCACATGTTAACCTGTCTGTCTGTCTGTTCACTAACCAACTGACTCCTGCAGATGAAGAGCAGCTCACGTCAGACGACGCTTCCACACTCTCTCAGTCAGTGTCTCCACAAAACACTCCCGCTAAAGAAGGTATAGCACACTGAAAGAGCCAGCTGTCTCACCTCACTCAACCTCAACCTCAACCTGTGTGTGTGTGTGTGTGTGTGTGTGTTATGCAGATCCAAACTGCAGTATGTTAACATATCATGTCAATATTAGCTGCAAATGTTTATCAGGGTTGCTAGGTAACAGTTCAAGAGGAAAATGAAAGAAAACACTGCACTGTTTCACTATAATGAATTTCTCACAAAGTATAAGCTAAAACAATTAAAATCATTTTTTGATAATTGAAGTAAATCTGAAATAAAATATAAATATTACATGAAAAAACTACTTTGAGATACTTTTATAGTTTTTATTAATATTTTGAATCAGTTTTTGTTTTTGTCATTTTTAGCCGCTTTTATTTTTTTATGTCTATATAGTATTTATTCATTTTTATTTCAGCTTTAGTTTACTATGATAACTAGAGCTAAAACAATTCATTTAATTATTTTTTTTTTTTAAAGATTTTATTCATTTATATTTATTTATAATGCTAAAATAATATATAAATATTACATGAAAAAACAACAACTGAAATACCTTTATAGTTTTTATTAATATTTTGAATCAGTTTTTATTTTTTGTTTTCATTTTGATTTAGTAGCTAAAACCATTTTTTTATTAAAGTGAAGCTGAAATAAAATATAAATATTACATGAAAAAAACTGAGGTACTTTTATAGTTTTATTAATAGTATGAATCAGTTTTTATTTTTATAGACATAGACACAGTTTTGGTGTTTTCATTTTGGTTTAGTAATTTTGTTGTTTTTGTCCATTTTAATAGTGTATATATATATATATATATATATGTAGTGTTTTATTCATATTTATTTCACTTGTAATTTACTATAGTAACACTTTTGTTAACTAGGGCTAAAACCATTAAAAATAATTGAAGTAAAGCTGAAATAAAATAAAATGTTAAATGAGAATATTAATGAAAAACATCAAATTAAATAACTAGCCAAAATTAAAAATGTTGCCTTGGCTGCTAACTGAAAGAAGTTTAAGTTCAGGTACCAAAATTTAAAAACTGAAATTAAAACTAAATAGAACTATTTAAATAAAAATAAACTAAAACAATAAAAGCATGTAACAAAATTACTAAAATTAAAATGAAAAGTGAACATATAAAAATAAAATTGAATTCAAAATATGAATAAATGCAATATTAGTACATAAACAATACTAAAATAGCACTGGTCAACAGGAATCATAGTTTCAAAATGTTTATAATAAACTGTCCTGCTTGTTGTGAAACTTTCTGGCAGGATATGTTGCAGGATGTTACCTTGCTCTTCTATTGCCCTTATTAAACAAGCACTACCTGATATTCCCATTTTAGAAGAGTAAATTAAAGTTGACTACAGGAGGAGCTTTGAGGGGAGCACAGTAGAGACCTTTACATAAACTGAAGATGAAGCCTTATATAAACAAAGGAAACACTGATATGTGTTCACACACACAGCGGGATAAGGTTTAGTGTTGGGTGGAGAAACAGGAAGCGTTTGCCCCAGTCACTCTGTATCAGTTGCATCAAAATCAGCGGTTACTCAACCAACATATTACATGAGCGCTGATGAACCATAAGTAGGCAACGATTGAGGGCACGTTCAACACGTTTATCTGAAGTGGAGGTCGCACTCGAGCCAGGACGTGTTGCCCCAGAGCTTCTTGTAATGATGATGCAATGATTAACTTCTGTTACTTTGGGCATCATGAGTTTAGATGTGAATCTGATGTTCAAAAAAGCTTTTTATTCAATATTCAAGGGTTTTATAAAATATGCAGTAATCACCTGCCATGGAGTTTAACTCCGTTAAATAAAGCAATACGTTGTGAGTTGCAGTAATTTTATCACATGGGGTATCAATATGATAATTTAATAATTATTGTGAATGTATAATTTAATTACTTTATAAATAAAAAATTTTAAAATAGTCACAAACATTTGCTCTCAACTATAGTTATTTGTGGAACAGCAACATTGTAACTTCTTAAAGACTTTTTTTAAATCTATTGTTAATTTGTTTTATAATTAGTTTAGAATTTTTTGATAAAACAATAATGCAACAAAAAACCAGTATAGTTTTTATGGAACAGCAACATTGTAACTTATTAAAGAATTTTTTTAAATCTATTGTTATTTTTTTTAATAATTAGTTTAGAATTTTTTAATAATACGATAATGCAACAAAAAACAAGTATAGTTTTTATGGAATAGCAACATTGTAACTTATTAAAGATTTTTATTATCGATTATTGTTAATATTTTTTAATAATTAGTTTAGAATTTATTAATAATACAATAATACGTGGGGAAAAACACCACAAACAAATCTAGCAAATAAAAAAACACATTAGCACATATTTTGTCCCCTTTTTGCCAAGCAACATTGTAGCTTATTAAAGAATCTACTGAATTTATTAATTTTTTTTTTCAAATTATTTTTTAAAATAAAATTTGATTTTAGCACAACAATGGAATACACCATTTTTAAAAAAAACTTTTTTTTAGCCACTTTACAACTTTAATGTAATTATTAGTGTTTTTTCTTATTTTAGTTTCATTAATAATACAATTACACAATAAATAAAAACCACAACAAACACAATTTCTAGCAAAATAAAATTCATTAGCAAAACTTTTGTTCGTTTTTTTTTGGCTAAGAAAAATTGTAACTTAAAATGTGATTATTACTAGTTAATTTTTCTAATAATTTTACTTCATTATTAATACAATAAATAAACAGCAACATTCTTCTAAAAATAATTCTTTAGCACAAATCTTTATAGTTGCCAAACAACATTAATATTTATCATTACTTAATGTTTCTAATAGTTACTGTATAATATACTGATAATAAAATGAATGTGATCAAAATTAACCACCACAAACAAATAAGATTCATTATCATCACAACTGTTGATGGTTTCCCAACACTGATTGATCAGTTGTGTTCTTCATCGTTCCTCATGCAGAGAACCACAGCGGCGTGATGCTGAACGGTAAAGACCAGCACTGCGACGAGGACGAGCTGATCAAGCGCGTGAGCCAGCTGACCACCAGCGTGGAAAGCGTCGAGATCAGCGTGCGCTCGGGAGAGAAGATCGAAGAGGCTCTGACGCCCGAGAGCTCGCCCTCCAAATCACCCAACAAGAAGAAGAAGAAGTTCAGAACCCCGTCCTTCCTGAAGAAGAACAAAAAGAAAGAGAAAGTGGAAGCCTAGAGGACGAAGAGCATCCACGCCTGTCGCTTTGTCCGTCTTTGTTTGTCGTTTTACGTTTCTAAGTTTGGAGCAACATCCGTTTTTAAAAAACGTGCCATGATTATGAGTTTTATACAGGAGGAGAAGCGAGGGAAACTCCTGGGAAACTGGCTTCTCTCACCTGATAGACTGAAAGTGTTCTGAGTTTGTCTCGTTGATGAGCCCATACTGCATTATTTTTTTCATACTGTATGTTTATTAGATTCTCACACAGATCTTTTATGAGCCCCTTTTCTATCCGTCGTCTCTCATGGTGTCAGTTCTGCTTGCGTCGTTTCTCCAGCTGTAGGTGGAATTGGTCACACTACACAGGAAACGCTTAAAGAATCACACTGGAAACCGTTCAGGGGTTATTTTAACAGGGTCCTGTGTAGAGTCACTCCAGTCTCCTCTCCGTTCCGTACGAAAACATTTTAACAGCTACAAAAAGCAGAGCGGTCACGTTTTAGTGAACATCAACTCTTCATCTCTTATGAAATATTTTAGCTTTTTTTTAATCCGTTCAGTTTTGTACACGTTTCTATACTTTAACAACGAAAAAAAAAAAAATGAAGCATGTTTTGCTAGTCTGAATTTCTATGGCTGATAATGTAGTGGTGCAATCGTGTAATAGCTCAGATTACTAAACACATGTAACGGAAATATATGAAAACTGGAGTGATGAGATATACATGTATAAAATATAATATTTTTGTGCTGCACTTTTTAATGTGGTATACAACATAACAAAAAAAAAACATCTATGGATGAAGATCTAAAGCGAAAGAGGCGCGAAACGAAAACATGAGAAATGTTTTAGCATCTTGAAAAAGGGTGGAGAAGGGAAACTTGTTAACGTGTAAGGAAAAAATATATATTTGTAAACTGTATTTTTGAAAAAAAGCAAAGTACTGGCTCTCATGGTGTCAACAGTGGGTTCAAATCTATTCAGTGTAACTGAATCCCATCACATCAGACATTTAAGGTTCATTCTGGGCCTTTATAGTGCTACATCATTGATTATGTCACCTTATGGTCATCCCATAACCATCCAAAGCGTCAGTGTTACTAAAGTTTGAGAAACGCCGTTGTACAGTGTGTCTAAAACTGGACTGATTTACTCATCTTCACTCCGCCACATCCGGTTCCCGTGAGGTCAGAGGTTGCTCGATTTGCCCGTTTCGAAGCGCCCTGTCCCACGAGATGACGCTCCGTGGACAGAATGTACACCAAAAGCTAATCTCTTATGGTTAAGATTAGCAGTTTGAACTCCGTTAGGCCCGAATATGGTCGTCCCGTAGGGGGAGGAAGAGGAGGAACCACTGAGAGAGATGTATATCCCAGTGGGCAATGTGAAGTACTGGCTTGGGCACGGAGAGAGAGACAGACACTTCTAAGCTGTGTAAATAGCATTTGCTTTTGAACGCGGGCCAGGCGTTGGATTAAAACGCATTTAAAGCTGCACCGGGTGCGAGTTTGGAGCGAGAACTGGGGCGGGCGGGAAGATTAACTCGTTTTATTGCTTGAAAGTTTTCCTTATTTTGGCTCTTTTTGCTTCGGTTTCTATTGCACATTGCTGTTTTCAGGAAGTGTAGGAAGCGTTAACTGGAATGTGCATCACATTCGCTTTTATTTTTGTTGCTCGTTTTTTTTTTTCCTTTTACCCCTTTTGACCGTTTTGCACCTTGTTTTACTAATGCCTCTCTGTTAGTCTGTGGTTCAGAAGGCCTGTTTGCTTTGGCATGCGAGTTTGAGCCGAGCCTCTTTGTGACCTGTGAAATCGTATATAAATGGTTATCTAACGGACTTGCTTTTAGATGTATTGCTAATCAGTGTAAATTCACAAATAAACTATTTTAAGAAGCAAACGCTGCACTCATCTGTGGGGAAGGAAGCGTGCATTTCATTCCATTTATGCATTTGTTTACATCATTCATTGCTTTTTCTCAGTTCTTCATACACAACCATTTATGCAAATGTTAACTAAAAGGGGAACATTTGATTTCAAAGGTTAGTTTACCTCAAAAAAAAATGTTTACTTGCCCCTCGTGTCATTCTGAACTGAGATTTTCTTCTGTGGAACACAAAAGGAGAAATTTTCAATATTAACACTGTTGAAAGATTATACTGGCCACAAAATACAGTGCAAGTATCATAAAAGTGGTAGTTATGCCTTGTGCACTATATGTAGGGCTCACAATATCACATTTTCACTACACTATAATCATGGCCAAAATAATTCATGATTACTGGAAATGTAGACATTTTGACCAAAAATGCTGCAAATCAATTTAAAATGAACTTTTTGTCTTTTCTCTATTTTTGACCGATAAATCACACTCAAGATGCAATATTTTTCTTTTCCTGAAAATAGTTAATGTTATCGCATTGTACTAAAACGTAGCGACTTTGCTCACACAACAACTTGACAAAAAAAGATTATTTTTGGACTTCTTAGGTATTTTTTCCTCACCTTGTTTCTCTTGCAGTGTTTCTGGTAAAAAAAAATGATCGGCCTACAAAAAAATGCCTGTAAATCTCTCATTACGCTATGTTACTACCAAACAATAGATTAAATCTTTTTGTCAACTTTTTTTCTTTCAGGAGAGAGAGACAGACACTTCTAAGCTGTGTAAATAGCATTTGCTTTTGAACGCGGGCCAGGCGTTGGATTAAAACGCATTTAAAGCTGCACCGGGTGCGAGTTTGGAGCGAGAACTGGGGCGGGCGGGAAGATTAACTCGTTTTATTGCTTGAAAGTTTTCCTTATTTTGGCTCTTTTTGCTTCGGTTTCTATTGCACATTGCTGTTTTCAGGAAGTGTAGGAAGCGTTAACTGGAATGTGCATCACATTCGCTTTTATTTTTGTTGCTCGTTTTTTTTTTTCCTTTTACCCCTTTTGACCGTTTTGCACCTTGTTTTACTAATGCCTCTCTGTTAGTCTGTGGTTCAGAAGGCCTGTTTGCTTTGGCATGCGAGTTTGAGCCGAGCCTCTTTGTGACCTGTGAAATCGTATATAAATGGTTATCTAACGGACTTGCTTTTAGATGTATTGCTAATCAGTGTAAATTCACAAATAAACTATTTTAAGAAGCAAACGCTGCACTCATCTGTGGGGAAGGAAGCGTGCATTTCATTCCATTTATGCATTTGTTTACATCATTCATTGCTTTTTCTCAGTTCTTCATACACAACCATTTATGCAAATGTTAACTAAAAGGGGAACATTTGATTTCAAAGGTTAGTTTACCTCAAAAAAAAATGTTTACTTGCCCCTCGTGTCATTCTGAACTGAGATTTTCTTCTGTGGAACACAAAAGGAGAAATTTTCAATATTAACACTGTTGAAAGATTATACTGGCCACAAAATACAGTGCAAGTATCATAAAAGTGGTAGTTATGCCTTGTGCACTATATGTAGGGCTCACAATATCACATTTTCACTACACTATAATCATGGCCAAAATAATTCATGATTACTGGAAATGTAGACATTTTGACCAAAAATGCTGCAAATCAATTTAAAATGAACTTTTTGTCTTTTCTCTATTTTTGACCGATAAATCACACTCAAGATGCAATATTTTTCTTTTCCTGAAAATAGTTAATGTTATCGCATTGTACTAAAACGTAGCGACTTTGCTCACACAACTTAACAAAAAAATATTATTTTTGGACTTCTTAGGTATTTTTTCCTCACCTTGTTTCTCTTGCAGTGTTTGGTAAAATAAAATTGTCGGCCTACAAAAAAATGCCTGTAAATCTCTCATTACGCTATGTTACTACCAAACAATAGATTAAATCTTTTTGTCAACTTGTTTTCTTTCAATTTGCACAGGTTTTATGTTTGTTTTTGGAACTGATCATAGGTTTAATTGATTTGAGTTTTTTGCATTAAATATTCCCAAAATTATCTACAAAAATATCACCCAGAATGCCAGAAATGAAAATTCTGTCGTTAATTACTCACCCTCATGTTGTTCCAAACCCGTAAGACCTTCGTTCATCTTCAGAACTCAAATGAAGATATTTTTGATGAAATCCAAGAGCTTTCTGACCCTCCCATAGACAACAATGCAACTGACACTTTCAAGGCCCAGAAAGATAGTAAAGACATTGTTAAAATAGTCCATGTGACATCAGTGGTTCAACTGTAATGTTATGAAGCTATAAGAATACTTTTTGTGCGCAAAAAAAAACAAAAACAACTTTATTCAACAATTTCTTCTCTTCCATTTCAGTCTTCACCGCTTGTTCACGAGAGCACCACGACGCATGCGATATTTGGTAATAATATAGCATAACGAGATTTACAAGCATATTTTTAAAAAGCTGGTCATTTTTGACCGGGAACACCAAAAAAGCAAGGTCTAGAGACGTTGAACTTCTTTGAACTTGAGCGTCACATTTTTAAAATGCCATGTCATGCACAAGACACCGCAAAAGACACTAATGCAATGGTCAAACATGTCCGTCTAGTGAACGTTTTCGCAGAAATGCAATGGGAAAACATTTCATTAACAATAACAGTATCACTGTTATAGCCAATATCACCGCTATATTGCAACGCCCTTTATTACCAGTCATCTAAATTCATACAATAGCTTTCGAATGCCACTTGCATCAATGCTTTTTTCAAAAATGGAGCATGAAGATGTTGCACCATCATTGATGAGAGCATTGGTTCACTACAATGAGAGCCGATCACTACAATGGTGTTTGAGAGTGATATGTCATGCATGCAGTTGATTAGCACATACAATAATATAGACTCGCCTCAGTTTGAAAAATGTACTCATCCTCAGACCATCCAAGATGTAGATGAGTTTGTTTTTCTTCATCAGATTTGGAGAAACGTAGCATTACGTCACTTGCTCACCAGTGGATCCTCTGAAGTGAATGGGTGCCGTCAGAATGAGAGTCTAAACAGCTGATAAAAACATTGCAGTAATCCACACCACTCCAGTCTATCAGTTAACTTATTGTGAAGAGAAAAGCTGAGTGTTTATCTATCAAAAACCGTTTTTAACAAACTTGCTTCTGGCCAAAATATGAGTCCATAATCCATAATAATGTTTCCTCTGGCACCCATTCACTGCAGAGGATCCATTGGTGAACAAGTGATGTAATGCTACCTTTTGCTACCAAATCTGATGAAGAAACAAACCCATACATCTTGGATGGCCTGAGGATGAGTAAATTGTCAGCAAATTGTCATTTTTGGGTGAACTGTCTCTTTAAGGATGTGGTGTCAAAATGTGTAAACAAACAGGCAGTGCTCTTCTCACTTTCAGTTCTAGGATCTCTGGAAGAGAAAAGCTGAGTGTTTATCTATCAAAAACCGTTTTTAACAAACTTGCTTCTGGCCAAAATATGAGTCCATAATCCATAATAATGTTTCCTCTGGCACCCATTCACTGCAGAGGATCCATTGGTGAACAAGTGATGTAATACTACCTTTTGCTACCAAATCTGATGAAGAAACAAACCCATACATCTTGGATGGCCTGAGGATGAGTAAATTGTCAGCAAATTGTCATTTTTGGGTGAACTATTATCTTTAAGGATGTGGTGTCAAAATGTGTAAACAAACAGGCAGTGCTCTTCTCACTTTCAGTTCTAGGATCTCTGACACAGCAAAACATGTTCCTAAAAATCATGTGCACAACCATGTTCTCATGAAATAGTCATCACTTGTTTCCCATTACATTTATGTATGAAGCACTTTTAACTGAAAATTCCTGTTATCACCAATATGCACCAAAAACTACCAAAGACCAGCCCTGCTGCAGGATAGTGAATTCCCTCTTCACAGCAAAAACAATGCTTTTACTTTAAGATTGTGGTGAATTTTTAACATCCATATATTAACAAGTAATGCTCGGTGTTGAGAAATCCAGTCT